CAAGAGCAGCCGCTCGCCGGTGACTTCCCCGCCCCTCCTGTCGAACCCGACAACGGCTGCCTGGACTGGTTCTCGCCCCTGCGCGTGCACGGGCGCGCCCCCACCCACACGCCAGGCGCGAGCGCGCGGACACGAGCACACCCACACCGCTCGCTCCCCGCCCTTTCTCGCCAGTTCCTTCGCCCCGCCCCTCCCGCCCCGCGCGACGCGCCGGAGGGGGCGGGGCCAGGAGCGGAGGCCACGCCCTCTAGGCGTCCCTGGAGAGGGATTTGTTTCCGCGCGCCTTTTGGGGACGCGCGCCCCGGTGCCATTACCTTACTTGCCTGGACTGGCTCGGGCAAGATCTTGGAAAAGACTGTTCAGCCTTCTACGAAGTTCTCGAGGAAGCTGGAAGAATGAAAGGGAGATGGTGACTCCGAACAGGCCTCCCCAGGGAACTGAAGAACTTTCCGCAGCCAGGAAAGAAAGACTTTGCATTTAGATGCCCAAAGGCGTCTGGGCAGACATTTCTCTGCTCCTCCCTTTTAGCGCCACGATCCTGCTGTCATCCTCCATTTGCTTTCTCTGAAATCTTCCTCTTTTGAAACCAAGGGAGCTGCGACTGAAACACACATACCCACATACCCCACGCAGGTCTTTGAGTGCGTGACTTTTTCCCGCTTTAGAAGTCTGGTCTTTCCAAAACTTTCTCTGTCTCCACAAAACCTCATCAACCTACTTTGCTCCTGTAAACTGTGATGATAGGACAGTACATCAGGTTAAGTATGACCTTTTTCATTTATATCACAGCTACTGTTTGCTAAGCGCTCTAGTGGATGCTTGGAGAAATAGCAAAGGTGTCTAGGGCGGGGATGGGGGTTCGGAATAAGCACACTCACTTTAAACAAAGAGTATGTAGGTGGATATTAACCAGTTGCTATCGAGCTGATTCAGACTTATGGGAACCTTGTGTGTTTCAGAGTAGAACTGCGCTTCATAGGGTTTTCAAGGCTGTGACTTTTCAGATGGAACCCTGGTGGTGCAGTGGTTAAGAGCTTGACTGCTAACGAACCAAAAAAAGGAAAAAAAACCTGTTGCCGTAGAATGGATTTCAGCACATAGTTATCCTAGAGGACAAAGTAGAACTGCCCCATAGGGTTTCCAGGGAGTGGCTGGTGGATTCAAACTGCCGACCAGCCGAGCTCTTAGCCACTGCACCACAAAGGCAGTTCAAATCCACCAGCCACTCCTTGGAAACCCTATGGTGCAGTTCTTCTCTGTCCTGTAGGGTCGCTGTCAGTTGGAATGAACTCGATGGCATAGTTGACCTTTCAGAAGCAGCTCACCAGGCCTTTCTTCCAAAGTATGTCTGGGTAGGTTCAAACTGCCAACCTTTTGGTTAGTAGTGAGCTCTTAACTGTTTGCACCACCCAGGGACTTCAGGTGGAAATCATATTTTGGTAAATTTTCTATTTCCCACTGACCTGTCGCTTCAGAGATGTTTACCTTTCTTTGATTGCTCTTGAATTAGATTCATCACCAACCAAGCTGCACACAGAGGAGCAGCCTCAAGCTAGTGGTACCGAGGAAAAATCGGCAGGTCTTGGTTCAGCCCCTCTTTCTCTCCACCTGCTCTTCTGCGTGGGATTCTCCCTCTCCAGACCTCTTGGCGCCCATTCTCCCCTATTTCAACATCTGGGAAACAAACAAACAAAAAAAAAAATTTTAAGTTAGTAACTAGAACAAAACTGGCAAGGATGAACGATCTTTTTTTAATTGGGAAAGTTATAGATCACAAACAAAAAGATCTCTACAAGTGTTAGCTATAGTTGTGTGGTGCAGTGAATTACTTAATATGGCCCTTCTAGCCATGGTCTTTGTGACTCCAACATAACGATTGGATGAGACTATGCAAATAAGGTGCTTGTGGCCCACCAAGGGGATTGGACAGCTTGCTAATAATGCAAATAAGGTGCATGGAACCCCTGTGGGGTGGGACCATGCAAATAAGTTGTATGGAACCCAAATGAGGGGATTGGTCCGTTTTGCCATCCCGCTAGGCTTAAAATGAGCCATCCCAGAGGCGGAAAGGGGGGACCTCACTACCACCCTGCACTGAGAACCTCCTAGACCCGGGAGATAGAGCACTGTAACACCGGAGACGGTGCAAGACGGTGAGAAGTGGTGGCAGAGAAACTCCAGTGGCAGAACCAGAAGACCAGCACAAGATGGCACAGTGGGCTTCCGGGCCTGTGGAACAAGACAGTTACCGTGGGTGTGCCTATGCACTGGAGTAAGAGAGGTGAATGCCTTAGAGCAAGGGGTTTCCTGGCAGAGTGGGGTGCCTCTGGGCACTTGTCAATGGAGCTAGGCTTTCGACCCACAGAGCGAGAGCTGAGTGCCTTCCAGCCGAGGGTTACTGACAGAGTGGTATACCTCCAGGCACTTATCAATAGACCTAAAGAGTTTAGTAACACCTGCCAGAGCAGGGCAGCGGCCAGGCGGAGGGGCTGAGGGGCCTAGGGCCAGAGAGAGGCCTGCCTGTGGGCACAGCTGAGAAGAGGCTGTCATGATCAAAGAACTGTATCCTGAGTCATTCCTAATCCTGAATTGTAACCTGTTACTTCCTTAATAACCCCTATAACTGTGAGTATGGTCTACGAGTTGTGCGTGGCCATTGCAACCAGTTATTGAACCCAGCAGAGAAGTAGAGAGTGCTGTGGGAGGGATGGCTGGTGTCAGAATTGGTAAAGATGGCAGAGAGAGGAGGCATGTCTGACCTCCACCTCATAGGAATCAGCCTTGTGTTGTTGATCTTGATTCTCCTTCCGCTTGTGAAGTTAGGTGAGGAGGACTGACACCCCGTGCCATTCTTATAAGTTGTCCCTGTAGACAAGTACAGATGTTCCCAGAACAATTGTCTCAACCATCACGCTACCCACCTTCATTCTGCCTCGTGCCCCTCTACATGCAAAGCGACAACTATCACTGGAAAAGAGGCTGGACTAGATCATCTCTAAAATCTCTTCAAATTTTGAGATTAGGAGTTGCCATGTTTGATTGGTTGCCTAAAGTTTAATCTATACCATTAGTCAGCAAACATTTTTGGTTACTCACCCCATCAGTAAAAATACTCCCAACTCCCTTACCCCGGCTCAGTTATCTAGTGCTGCTATAACAGAAATACCGCAAATGGATGGTTTTAACAAAGAGAAGTTTATTTCCTTACAGTAAAGTAGGCTAAAAGTCCAAATTCAGGGTGTCAGCTCCAGGGGAAGGCTTTCTCTGTCTCAGCCTTCTCATCAGTGTTCCCCCAAACTAGGAGCTTCTCTGCGCAGGGACCCCAGTCCAAAGGACGCGCTCTGCTCCCGGCACTGCTTTCTTGATGGTGTGAGGTCCCCAATTCTCTGCTTGCTTCCCTTTTATCCCTTGAGAGATAAAAGGTGGTGCAGGCCACACCCCAGGGAAACTCCCTTTACATTGGATCAGGGATGTGACCTGGGTAAAGGGGGTGTTACAATCCCACCCGAATCCTCTTTAACATAAAATTACAGTGACAAAATGGAGGCCAACCACACAATTCTGGGAATCATGGCCCAGACAAATTGATACATACATTTTTGGGGGGACATAATTCAAACCATGACACCCCCCCCATATACTTATTTATCTTAAGGTAAAGCACATGGCCACCACTAATCTGTCAGTTTGTCCTACTGTGGTGGCTTTCATGCTGCTATGATGCTGGAAGCTATGCTATTTGTATTTCAAATACCAGAGGGTTCACCCATGGTAGACAGATTTCAGTGGAGCTTCCAGACTAAGACAGAAGAAGCCTAGAGATCTACTTCCAAAAATCAGCCAATGAAAACCCTATGGATTACAACAGAATATTGTCCAATGTAGTGCTGGAAAATCTCCCCCTAGGTTGGAAGGCACTCAAAATACACAGTGGCCGCAACAATGGACTTGAGCACATCAGTGATCATGAAGATGGTGCAGGACTGGGCAACGTTCTGTTCTGTTGTATGTGGGATTGCCATGAGTCAGAGCCAATTCAGTAGCAAATAACAACAACAACAACAAATCACATGGACTTAGAAACCAGACTGACGGTACTGAGATTCTGGCTTTGCCACCAGCTACCTGTGTCCTTGGGCACATCCAAATACTTAGTTTCTTCATTTGTAAAATGGAGATAATAAAAGTATCTACCCCACAGTGTCACTATGAAGATTAAATGAGTTAAGCATAGTGCCTGGCACATGGTAAGTGCTATATATATGTTAAATAAATAAAAATTACTATATATATGTATATGCAAAACCAAGAAGGGCAAGGGGCTCAAAGTCACTAAAAGGCAGTAGGTTCAACTTCAAACTCAGACTTGTAACTATGGGATCTTGTTCAAATCCAGTGATCAAGATCTCTCTCTGAACATCACATTTCACCTCTAAAATGAAGATAAAAGTAAGAACTACCTTATGGACTGTTGTGTGGAGGAAATGAGATAACATGTATAAAGTGTCCGGCAGAGTGCCTAATACATACAGAGGAACCTGGAAATGTTAAATTTGAGTTTAAATTAACCCAATTCTATAAATCAAAAAGGTAAAGAAGATATTATTATCCTTGATTCTATGGGTAAGTTTTTCAAGGACATTTGTTTGGAAAAGAGATGAGTTTGGTTAAACTTTTACTAGAAAACAGAGCATTCAAGAGAAGATGGTAAATACTTGGATTTTAATTACTCCTTGCCTTATTTTTCCCCTCCACCCATAGACTCTGATCTTCTTCCAGTCTTGTCCATCTCAGTAAAATGGCACTGTTCTCCACAAACCTGGTAAGCTATCACTGTCTCGTCCCCTTTTTCATCCTCTTCACCCAATCCTTTTGCCTCCAAAGCACTTCG